ATGGCTCCACAAAGCAGGAGTTTTAAATGCCCAGGTCACCATTATCCACCTGCATACATTAGGCTCCATTCCCTGTGCATCATACAGGAAACCTCTTTTTTCTACTCATAACACTCCCTGCAAAGCCATGTTGCACATATAAAACTTGTCAACAATATGAAAAAGTTACCAGAAAATTGACTGCTAACTTGTTTTGGAAAGTCAATATAAAATGCTTTGGGGAGAGCTTGATGCTGTGGTTTTTAAAAACATGCCACCAAGAATTTATAGGAAATTGTGCATTGTTTTCATTCTCCTACTGGTTCCTAGTATCCTATTATTTCCTAGGAGAAATATCTCTTAAAATAACTTTGAAGTCTTTGGCTAATTTACCAGATAAAGCCACTGCATGTAAAATGGCATCTTCATGAAGGTAATAAATTAATCTCTAGGTTCCACTGGGGCCTGGAACTTTGAGCTTTGCTATAAATTACAGCACCTGCTGTGATTCTGTATCTCACACACACGATGGAAACTTTTTTTTCTGAACTGATAAACTGGGACCAAAGTAAGTGCCTAAAATATCTTCTTAAGGTCTTTAACCATCTATTTCTTAATATAGCAAACATCAAATTGTCTTTATGTTGTGTCGTTTATATATAAACATATTATTAAAAATTAAACACCAAACTTTGCCACTGAAGCATGATAAAGGATGAACTTAGAAAAATTTTAAATATCGTCTATTTGTAACCTACTGTCGTTAAAGTTTGTAAGTCAAACAAGCTATAAAGGAAAATATAGACAAAGCATGACCTCTGCTTAAAATAACGTATTAATTGCTAGATGGCAGCTAATCTAATTCTGGATTAGTAAGGACAAATTAATTTTACTGTTCAACTCCTTAGATAAGGGAGGATTGAGTATTAGTACATGATCAAAAATAATAGGCTACATTAATATTGTTAACTTATGAGAAAAAATATAAAGGAAAAAGCAGTCCCAGACAGAAACAGAAGGAGCACAGAGTTTGTTATATTTTGGCATATTTTTAGTTAATGGGAAATATAGAAAAAAATATTTTAAAATATTGAAGAAAACTCAGATGATAAACTTTATATACTTTGGGAAGTGTTTGGGGGTATTTCCAATAACGGAAAACCTATTTTCTACTTCACAAGAGCTACGATGTGCTTCCCTCTTCAGAATTATGGGATTTGCTATCTTCTGGGAGAGGTGAGCAAAGCCCATTCGATGCCCCAATATTTCTATTGTGTTGCCTCATTTATGTCAACAGCACATGCGTGTAACTCCTGCACACTATTTCATTTTGTAGGATTTCCCCGTGCTCTTTTGAGGACATGATCACCATTTGTTACATTGCACCCCTGACTTCAAGAACTGGGAATGTTACCCATAGGTCAAGAGGGGATCCCCATCTCTGAGATGATCTCATCAACTCTCACCCCTGCTGCTCTGACACCAGCTTCTCATGGTTTCACAGGGTTTAATCCCAGCTACCTAGCCAAGCCACATTGGATCATGTCTTCACATACACCCTTTGCTCCCCCATGAGAGCTCTCTCACCATTACTGGAACATGCCTCTTTTTCATCTCCAAGCTGTTTCCAGAATGTTCTTCTCTACTTGTCTGATTGGCAAACTTCTTCTCATGCTTCAACACCCCAGGATGGCCAGCTCCTCAGTGACTCCTTCTCCAGCTGCCACCAGGAGAACTGACTGGTCCTCTTGGCTGCCACTTCCCTTCACTTACCTGTATCCCAACACATACCATGTGATGCAGCCAGTCCCCACACACTGAGCCTCCCTGCGAACCTGGGTCACTCCGTGGTCCACTGCTTAACAGTGCCTGACACATACAAGGTACTCCAGAAATACTTGTACTGCAGATTAGTGGTTGAAGAGAGGCAGCCTGCA